CTGTATTCTGTTGAGAGACCTTGATTATTTTGTTTTAGTTTCTTTGTAATGCTGGTAGATTGGTTTTTATTCTGCAAGAGGACCTCCAGCAGTCTGTGTTTGTAGCATGGCCTTCTATTCTAGTGCAGTCCGGCAGAAGTTCTTTGGTACAGGATGGAACTGAATTGAAAATGAAAACAGAAAGGGAGATACCAGATATCTGCAAGTTGGGGTTGGACTAAATGATCTTTCAAGGTCCCTTCCAAGCCCTAACATTCTGTGATTCTGTGAAGTTGTTTGATAGGTACTTCCCCATTATGTTACACAGAGGAGAGCTTTACTGTCTTCACTCGTCTTAATTGTTCCCATTTTTTTTTTTGTCCAATATTAAACTCTGGTAATGTATTCTTCACCAATTCTCAGCATTGTTGTTTGTCTAATCCCTTTTTGACAATTTACAGTTAGATGAAGGGTTTTTTTTAATGATTTCTATAGCTTTCCAAGTTTGTATAGTGAAGTGGTAGCTTTTTGATGCTTAAGGTAATTCACAATAATTTTGAGGGGTTATAATTTCTTGCCCATGTATGCACACATGCATGTATACACAAAGTAATGATAATATTGGTATCTCTGCCTCTGATCACTTTAAAAGGGATAAAGTTATCTCACCACCTAGTAAGTTTCTAAGTGTTTGGGTTTTTTTTTAAATTACCTTTTTCTCTTGTTTACTGCACATGCATCATGGTGTTTTCATAACTTGAGTCTACAGATAAACCTGAAGCTCTCAGTACGGTAAAGATGCTGCCCTTAAATGAATTTTTCTTTGGTCATTTTAAGATAGTTTTAAGCTTTGAAATTACCTGTCACTCATGGTGCGTTCTTGTCCCATCATATTCATTAGTCAGACCAGAACTAAATGGAAACTGATTGGATTCTTTTGATCAGATGTAGGCAAAGTTACTTAAATACCACTGTTTTTTATGGCCAAGCCACTTCCTTGGGCTGGTAGAATGCTGACAGCAGTGTCATAAATTCTTGTCAATCTGCCTGTCTCTGATCGCTTATGAAAGTGCTGAGAGGAATGACAAACGAATCTGTGAAATGCTAGGGGAAGAGGAAAGGCAAGTTAAATTTTATTTTCTTTTTTTGGTCCTTCTCAGCCTATTGCAGCTGCTGGCCCAGATGAGTTTTCAAGGATGCTGGTACTCTTCAAGGCACAATTTGTCACAGAATAATTCAGTTGTAATAACAGAGTTACTCCATTCCACAATTCACACCCCCCTGTACAAAATAAACTTAAAATGTGTCTAACTGCCTTTC